ACAATTTTTTTAAAAAAAAAAAAAAAAATACAGCCATGATCACTTAATAATTAACAATGAAATTTAACAACCATACAAGTAGTTTTATTTTTTAAAAAAGTTGAAAACTCAGAGAAAAAGTTTTTATTATTATTTTTCGTAGCAAAATTAATTATTATTTTTAGTAACAAAATTATATTGCCCACTGAGATGTTTATGTAACCATTAACTGAATTTCTGCACTTTTAGGGGAAAGCTGGAAACTGCTGCCAAAGAATGCAATACTCTTAGAAGGGAAAAACAGGAGCTTTTTGCTCAAGTGGAGAAATTAAGAAAGGAGAATAAATTATTTAGTAACAAACAAGACTACAATGAGGAGAAGAAAGAAGATCTTGTATATTCTTCGGGTACGGAGATTCCCGAGAGGGATGTCGGCCCGGGGGAAATCTTGGACGAGCGTGTTATCACCGATTCTCTTCCGTCTAAACAATTTGATGTCGAGGAAAAAGGCGTTTCCGACCCCCCTGATGTCTCTCAAGATCTGCAATTTTTGGAAAAACTATTGCTTGGTGATGATTCTAGAACTCCTGTTAACGAGAAAAAGTGCTCCCGCCTTTCGCGAGGCGAAATGAACGATTTTGCAGTTCCAGAACTTACCGAGCAAAAGTTAGCCATGTTGCAACTTCGGCTAGAAGAGGCTTCGAAGACGATCATTGCTGAGAGGCAGTAAGATTTATAATGCTTTTTATATTTGTAGCAGAGTTAGTTGATTTAAATCAGCTTGATTTTAATCGCTATTTAAATCATGATTTTAATCAAATTATTTTTTTTTTTAAATCATTGAATTAAATCAACTGATTTTTTTTATAAATATATATTGATTTATAAAACAGTGTTTTAAATTATTGATACTTTTATTATTTCTTTTCTTAGTTTTAAAATTTATTTTAAATAAATTTCTGCATTAATTTTAGCTAACAAAATTACTTTCTTTCTTGTTGTGTGTAAATTCCAACACATTTGAAATTATATTTTTAAAAGTCTTTTGATTCTTGAGATTGAAAGTACAGATTAAAGTGAACATTTAAGTATTTTTTTTCTCATAATATGTTTACAGTATCTTTGACATTATCAGATTTTTCTATAAAGAAATTTTGTGGAGAAAAAAAAATTTCAATAGGTAGATAGATTTTTTAAAGTTTTTTTTAGCTTAACTTATCTATTTTGATATAAGATTAAACATGAGTATTTTAATATAAAAATATATAGATTAAATATTTATTTTTTGATAAATGACTACATTTATAAATGCAATCTTTGCATTTATTTAGTCATTTTAAAAAATCAAGAGAAATAGAAGAAGTCACAATTTTAAATTAAAAGTGTGATTTGGTAATTGAAACTTTGTTTTAATCGTTAAAGTATTCTTTAAATTCTCTATTTCACCTAGTCTTTAAATTTCAATCATGCATTTCTTTGAAAATAGTTGCTATGCTCTCAAAGCTATGTATTATAATGAAAAATTGTTTTAGGTAGTTAGAGCTCCTAATATATTCTTATATAGTTTTAATATTAATTTAATTTTGATTAAACATTTATAAGGATTTTTTAGTCATAAATCAAAGTTCTTACAGTGTATTTGAATAAAAATATGATTTAAATCAAAAAAATCATGAACCCTGATTTGTAGTTAATAAAGTTATTAAACTATTATTATGCATTGGTCTGAAGAACTTAGTGAAGGAAATCATCCTTTGACATGTTATTCTAACCAACAGTGTAAATTTATTCAATTAAATGAAGTATTGCAAAACTCGTAGAACGAAACGCAAATTATCTTCATAAACAACATAAAAAGCGTATGAAGGAGATCCAATATATTCTTGTAATTGTGTATAGCATTTGTAACAGTAGGGGATCCACCTCCTCTAAAACATTTATGCAAAACATTTATACAATTGTTTAACTAGGCAACTGTATTTTAAAATAGCAATCAAGAATCATATTTATATGATTACATAGCATAAATAGTTTTGTCTTTTATGATAGTTCAATATGTTAGAGTTATAATTGTAGGAAGTGCACTGACATTCATTATCAGTAAATTGCTCCTTCACTATATTGCAATAGCCTAAAAAAGTTTTTAGCTCAGTCATAGAGATAAGTTAGAATTCAAAATTTTGTTCAAATAATTGCAAATATTTTTCATAAATTAACTACTAACTATCTGGAGTCTTTAAAACATTGCCAACTTTGAGTACTTGCGAGTCAAAAGTTTCTAAACTCTGACTCCACAGCTTCAGTAATTTGGTATAAAATTCATAATGGGAAAAATTATGGCTTTTAATAGTTTCATACATTTAATTAATTGGTTCAATTATATATTTTAAATTTAATCCATCTTTTTTTTACTAGAGAGAAGAACAAATTAATGAAAAGTATGGAGAAGTTGCAGACAGAGTATAACCAAATTCACATGAAGTATGATGATCTAAAAAAATCCAAACAGGATGCTTTAAAAGAAGTAAATATTTTTTTTTAATAGTTGTTTTAAAATCCCTTTGGCAGGTTCGGAAAATAGATTTTTCCGATCTTTAAGGGGCATCCTTATTCTGAAAAAAATAACAAATAGACAATCAATTACAATTAGCATTGAATAAATCCATGTGGGGTTGCACTATGTTCCACATAGTTTTTAAAATCTTGATATTTTATTATAACATACCCCATTTCAGTTCATTTTGGTATTTTCAGATCTCAATGTTGTAATAAGATATTATTTAGTTCGCACTCAATTATTAACGATTCACACGCAATCCCGCATTTATCTCAGTTGTTGCTACAGATAGTTTTTTAATGCTGTATTATCGTACGCAGGAAATTTTGAATCTCTTCTTCTTTGTAAGCGCAACAGCCCCCTGCAGGCCTTGGCTGCCTCAACAGCTGACAAATGCCAGCACCACCTATCCATGGCAACTCCTTTCCCATTTCTGTCTTTAGGGTTTTCAAATCATTTTGGATGTCGTCGAGCCGTCTAGTAGGGGGTCTGCCTCTGGGACGTGACCCCTTCGGGTTTTTAAAGGTGACTATTCTCATGACACTATTTTCAGGGCTTCTCCATAGATGGCTCAGCCATCTCAGCCTATTACTGTGAATTATTTGTGAAATTTGGGGCTGCTTATAAAGTTGGTAGAGCTTGAAGTTATATCTGTTTTGCCAGAATCACCTTTCTTGAATTGTGCCAAAGATGGCTCGGAGGATCTTTCTTTCGAAGGAGTCTAGTGTCCGCAGTATATCTGAATTTAGGGCTCAAGTTTCACTTCCATAAAGTTGCACAGGAAGTATGAGTGCCTTATAGAGATTTAGCTTTGATGTTTTTCGGCTGAGAAGATTCGATCTTAGCTGTCTTCTCAGTCCAGAGAAACACTTATTAGCCCCCAGTTCAGAAACCTCAACAATTTCGAATCTCACATTTGTAAAATTACTTTTTGATGAACTCAATTTGCGATGATTTTATTGTCCATGAGAGTTTTGATGGTACAGTGTGCTAAAGTAGGGGTAGCAGTTAAAGGTAGCCAGTTGTGGACTGCCTGTTTTAACTGTTGGCAACAATAACTTTCCCTGATTTGTCCTGGAAGAATTGCTTCCACTGAGTAACGGCCAGCAAAAACAAAAAAAAGTAAAGGAAATTTTTTCTATTATGGTATCTGTGGCCTATTACAAAGAACTTTTGATTTTTAAAAGTGAACAAATATTGTCACATTTCAAAATTTTTAAAAATTTCAAGTTAATCCTTACAAATGCACATGTACACTAAAAGTTAAATGAAATACTGTATTTTTTTAAAAATTTATCTATTTATGTTTATTGATTTTTAGAATCAATGCTATTGTAATATTTTTCAAAATATTTATGCGATAGTTTCTTATGGCATTCTTTAAAATCTAGAGAAGACTCAATAGTCAATATAGTTCAACAGTTTAACACAGTTTACCAAATGAATCACATCGTAAATAAAGCTAAGTTTCCTTCAATTGATTAAATTATCGCTATATACAGCGGAACCTTGATTTTACTTTTCCATTAGATTAGCATTAAAAAACGCAGCGAGCGGAAACACTTAAAATTGGGGTAAAAATTAAATCTAAGTATGTTTTCCAAAAATTGACATTTACAAGATGAACTATGAGAACATGGTGCGTAGCATTTTTAAAAAGTGCATAACCCACTGGCGGTTAAGGAAATGGGCAAAATTGGGAGAATGTTTCTCCCCTACACACAGTTCCCCTATCTATTAACATGGGACAACCGGTTTTGCTGTGCAGAAAAGACTGCAGGTTAAAATGTGACTTTTTACGTGCAGATCCGTCAGTGGGTTAAAGGTGCTTATTTTTGATTTTCGATTTTTAAAAGCTCTAGAATGTGCTTTTTTCATTGGGTGTTTTTAAAAAGTGTTTAATTTTTCCTTCTCAAAAATAAGATTTTTTACCATGTCGATTTTCGCCACGTATTTATGCAAAATCATGCTTTTCGCATAGTTCTATTCACCATTTTCACAATGTGTTTGGTGAGATTCTTGCACTCTCATGTGCAACTCTGCTGTATTTTGCAAGATATTCTTAATTTCAGGCTTCATTTTCCACCCTCTAATATCGAACCAAAAATCCTCTTGATCTTTTTATTATGGCTAATATAATCAAGAGTTCTTTTTCAGAAACTGGTTATTTAACCACGATCATGATCAGTTTTTGAAAATTACTTTGCATTTTGTTAACGTGTATAGTGCTTAAAAATATTTTTTGAGTGGGAGAAAAGTACTTAAAAGGTGCTTATTTTTTGTTGAAAGATTTGTCTAAGCACCTTGGAGTAAAAATTTGCAATTTTTCCTTTTTCTTCGTTAACAATTTCAACACTATTCCTCACAGCACTTGCTTGTAAATTTGCGTTTTGGCTTACATTTGCAAATAAATATTGTTTCTTTGAAATTCTCTTGATTGGTTGTGTTTATTTTTTTATTCATAATTTTTATCACTGTTGTCGGGAGCAGGCATTAATAGTTGAAAAGTAATAAGATGTGTGTTGCAGTTGATAATTCACTTCTTTGGCGTCACAATTTAATTTCATGTGGAGATGTTCCCATTGGATCCCAAGTCGTAATAAACCCGTTTGTAATATACTTTAGTTATCACCAGGGTATCCGCGCACCTGGAAAGTCATGGATTTCGGTGTTGCACAAAATTTGTCATGAAATGTCGTGATTTTAAATGTTTTTTTTTTTTTAAAAAAATCATGAAAAGTCATGGATTTAGGTTGCCGAAAAATCTAGTTTTTAAAATGGAATGTACCCCCCAATTTCATAGTGTTCTGAACATCTGAATTTGTAACAAAATCCCCACTCCCAGTCATATTTGATTAAAATATATTTTAAAAAATTTATCGTGTTCTTTAAAAATTATGGTATTCTTTTAAAAAATGAAAGAAAAAGCTTAATTTCTAGAGCAAATTATCTTTTAAACTTCTGTGATTTCAGAATTTTTGTTATTATTTTTATTTTATCAATTTAAAATTTAAGCAGAAGCAAGCCAGTCACAGGCGAATTTATTTTTATTCCTGAACAGAAAAATCCGAAGTATTTCTTACCTTTCCAATGAACACAAAAAGTATCTTTAGAACATAATTCTGCAAGAAAAATTTTTTTGCTTTTGTATTTTTTTCAACCGTTTTATTGCTTTAACTCTTTCTTTACTCTGTTTTTTAAATTTAAAATCTATAAATATGAAGATGCAGAATATAACAGTTTTAGTTAGACCTATCATTTCAATAAGTGTTATCCTAATGATTTTTTAAATTTATTGTTGTGTTTTTGTTGGAGAAAATAGCAACTTTGTTAAGTCATGAAAAATATTTGGAATTGGTCATGAATTTGAAAATCTAATATGTAGCAGATACCCTGTATCACTGTTCAACGCTACGAAAATAAAATTCAGAGCTGCTAGAATATATATATATATTTTTTTTTTTTTTTTTTTTTTTTTTTTTTTTTTTTTNTTTTTTTTTTTTTTTTTTTGGTTTAGAAGAATTTTGTACGTTACTGGAATCAAGAAAACCATATGATTAACTAACCAGTTGTTTTGGGTAACGTTTTTAAATGAGTGGTTTTCAAAAGTTGAAGTTTGCTGGAAAAGATTTCACTTGCATATTTAACTATTTAGACACCCATATTTTCTTGAAGCACCCTTCCTGTGCTTCGCCATCCCATGACTCTCCTGATTTTGACGCGTGGGAGGCAGGACAATTAGATTTTAAAAAAAAAAAAAATTAAATTAGCAGTTTCAAACAGGTCTCTTCTCTCTCTCTCTCTCTCTTTTTTAAAAAAAATTATTTTGTCTTGTTTGAAAAAACATATAAAACAAGATTTTCTTGGGTTATGTAAAATCCGGGAAAATTAACGTTATTGTCAAATTTCAAGGATCATCAGAGAATGAATTGTTTTAAAAATTAGTATGTTGTTGTCTGAAATGAACGAACTGGGTGTTTTTTTTAAGAACTCAAAAAAGGGTTATAAGCCAGTCCCATATATTTTTGCATGACAGAATGATTATTAATAGAATCAGTCAAATGACTTATACCCACTTAATAAGAAGGATGCATAATTGCTTATACCACCTTATTCCTTACATTCCCCAATCATTTTCCTCCAAGAATAATAATTCAAACCTTCGATTTTGTTTTGTTTGAAATTCAAGGAGTTTCTTTTTTATCTGTGTCCTTTTTCTATGATTCAGATATGATTTTAGTATACTTTAATACTGCAATTTTAAAAAGCCACTAATTTTACATTTCCATAGCTGCCAACTGTTCAGAATTTTTTGGATTTGTTCCTAATTTTCAAATCAAGTCTGAAAATCTGATATTTTTATTTAAAAAATCCGAATTTTCGTAAAATTGCAGTATTTTTGCTTTTAAACCAATCCCTTGTTCTGATTGCTGCAAGTGCGGTTCCTGTGATTATTGTGCAGAAGTAATTTTTAGTAGCCTTTTATTGGAAAATACTATTCCAATAGCTGTTGCTGATCATTTCACTAAATTGAATCTTAAACAACTATTATTATTTTTTTTTAAATGAATTGTAGTATTCAAACAGTGCATCAGAAATATTTGGTTATGATTATTATTTACTTGTGTTTTATAATTTGGAGAAGAAGAATTATGTATAAGGTAATGGTTGTTTTAAAACTATTATACCAGTATTCCTTATTATAAAATATTAATATTATAAATTTCCCACCAAAGATACTTTTGTTTTACTAATTTACATAAGTTATTTAAATATATGTCTATTAATGCTATTATTTAATAGTTAAATTTTTGTCTTACTCTCGTAATTGGTGCATATAATTTTGTCGCATATAGTGTTCCTAATTTTTTTATTCCTAAGGTTGGCAGCTATGCATTTCAGTTTTTTTAAATTTATTTATTTATTTTTGTGATGTCAAGGTTTTACTTTCTCATATTTTCATCATTGCTATTAAAATTAATTCTTTTAAACTGTGCTATAAAAATATACAATTTCATTCAAATTTTTATTTTTATTACTATTTTAGTTAAACCAAATTAAAGCTGAGCATCAAGATGAGCTGGACAATATGAGGCTAGATCTTGAAGATGAAGCAAATAATCGTAGTACGTTAGACCAAAGGCTTGCTGAACTTCGTTCTGAGGTAAATTTAACTTATTAGCAACAAATACTATTTTGATTAAGTTATGAAATATGTTTTCATTTTGTAGTTACATTATCTTTGTTTAAACTGAATAAAAATGGAGAGAAAAAAATATTTAAAAATGTATAAAAATATTTTACCCAAGTTTTGCATGTATTTTTTTGTTTACACATACAGTAAAACCTTATTAAAACTATACATTTTTGACATGTCTGCTAGCCTGGATAACCTGTAAAAGTATCAAAAAATTTTCAGGTACAATCTTTACAGGCCGCCTGTTCATTGAAGATGTTGTTCCCTCTATCAAATGAGAAAAACTCTGTGACTAACAAATTACTAAGTGACTAAATAAACTAAGTGAAAATAACACGGCAATTATCTGATGTTAAATTAATTAAGGAAAAAATAGTTTCACTAAAGGGTCAACGAAGTATTTTTTAAATAGCTTTTCCAAAAATCCTTTGATGAAAGAAAGGAATTTTTAAATAAATTCGAGTTGAATTGGATGTCCAGATTTTCTGACCAACAATGCTGTTTTATTAATGAATAGTTACATTGCTGGGTTTTATTTATGAGGTTAACCCAGTATCCCTCCTGCAGTTTATCACAGCATCTGCAAATTATTATTCACTTCAATTTCCTTTAAAGAAAATTTGATACTTACAGGGTATCCGCGAACCTGTAATTTTGGTATTGAACAAAATTTGTCATGAAATGTCATGATTTTAACTATTTTCTTAAAAAAATCATGGATTTAGGTCGCCAGAAAATTTTCTATTTAAAATGGAATTCCGCTGCCCCAATTTCGTGGTGTTCTGAATATCTGAATTTGTAACTAAATCCCCACTCACAGTCATATTTTATTAAAATATTAAAAGTTTTTTATCATGTTCTTTAAAAGTTATGGTGTTCTTTAAAAAAATGAAAGAAAAAACATCATTTCTAGAGCGAAGTATCTTTTAAACTTTGGTAATTTCAGAATTATTATTTTTTTTTTATTTTTATTTTCTCAATTTAAAATTTTAACTGAAGGCAAGCCAGTGATTGGCGAATTTTTTTAATTCTGAAATGAGAACAGAAAAATCAGGAGTATTTCATTTCTTTCTGATGAACAAGAAAAGTATCTTTAGAATGTAATTCTGCAGAAAAAAAAGGGGGGGAATTATTTGCTCAGCTATTTTATCTATAACTCTCTCTGTACTCTGTTTTTTTAAATTTAAAATCAATAAATAAGAAGATGCAGAGTAGAACAGTTTTGGTTATATCTATCATTTTAATTAATGTTATAATGCTTTTTAAATTTATTATTCTGTTTTCGTCGGAGCAAACAATAACTTCGTTAAGTCATGAATTTGAAAATCTAAAATGTAGCAGATACCCTATAAATGGTGAAAGAATTCGAATTGAAAAACCGTAAACGATGAAGAAAGGATTTTCTGTCTTCATTTATAATGAATAAGAAATAGTTATCCTTTATTTTAAAAAAAAAAAAAAAATTTACCGAGAAAAGTCACAGATTAAATGATATTTTTCTAGTTATTTGTCTGCAAAATACTTATGATGGTAGGACAATTAGTTTCATTTGAACAAATCAGAACTACATAAATTGAAATTATATTCATCTCTTTTATTTTAAAATGAAGTTTCTCCTTTCCCTACAATTTCTTTATGTATGTGTTTGTTTCTCCTTTTTGGATGAATGTATAAAATTGAAATTAATTTTAAAAGTATAATGTTTTTGTGTTTAATTTTATTTTATTTAATAGTTGTAAATTGTGTTAAATACTTGTTGGAATAAGCTTAATTTTTACAATAATAATCTCTACCTGATGGCAGTCTCATTTGAAGATTACGCAGCTGATTGCCGTGCATTGAATTTTGTCAATTCTTGCAGCCAACTCCATAGCCTTCTAATTTCGCACCGAATCCAGAAGACAAGGGAACTCCTAGATCAAGTATCGAGAGAAATTTGCCTTTGTGGAAGACTTTCTGACGGAACTAACCCTCATTTGCGTTTCATGAAGAAGAAAACTGTGAAAACTTGCCAAGGTTAGCCTGACGGCAAGGGGACTCTAACCCTTGATCCGTCTACCACTGGGGGATTTGAACCCAGTACACCTCACTGTGGGGGTAGCACTCTATCTTCTAAGCCAACACGGCTTTTAAAATACAATTTTATTTCATTTTATAAGCGTCGTTGAACATCTGACCCAATTTTGGGTTTACGCCTACTAATGTTCAACTCCATAGCTTTGTAATTTTGAACCCAATCTAGAAGACAAAGAAAATCTTGGATCGAGTATTTGGAGAAATTTGCCTTCGAGGACTTTTTGGGGAAACTAACCCGCTTTTGCGTTACATGAAAAGAAAAATCACAAAAATCTTCCACAGTTAGCTTAATAGCAAGGGGACTCTAACCCATGATTCGTCTGCCACATAGAATATTTTCCATCCGTGTGAGTCGGGTGCTCATCAACAAGCCATTGCTGGGATTCAAACCCGGTTCGCCTCATTAGAAACCATCTCCATATGACTCTTTACAATATTGTTTAAAATAATTTAGTCATTCTTGAAAGATAATTGTTATTGAAAATGTTTTTTTGTTCTGTCTATAAATGTGCTTTTCAATTGTTCTCTATGTTAATTACCAAATTTATTTTGTTAGCTGGAGAGACTTCAGGGAGAAAATGCAGCCGAGTGGGGGAGGAGAGAACGTTTGGAAACAGAGAAGCTGAGCCTTGAACGAGAAAATAAAAAATTGAGAACGCAAATCGAAGACTTAAATGAAAGATTAGAGAGGAAAACTAAACAGATGACTATGGCATCTGATTTTGATGTGAAAGCACTTCAAGTTGAACTATATGAAAAAAATAAAGTAAAAGCTCATTTTATGTTCATAACCTATTAATGTTCAACTCAAAATTTTTAAATAATATTTTGTATGTCAACCCCATGACAGAATCACAGTGACATTTACAGAGTTCTTGCAGAAGGATTTTTCTTTTGAAAAATTTTTTACGGAATTTACACATAAAATATTTGAATCATGCATTTAGATAATCACTTTTTGACGCGCACAATTTACACCGATACTATCGTAAATCGATGTAATGTTTCAGTTGTATTTTCGGTAGTTATTGATATTGATTTTCAATTGGTTTTTAAAATTCCCAATATATTTCAAGCAATATGGAAAATTCGAATCGTGCATATGAGCATTTATTTTTTAAGGAAATAATTCTATCGAATTTTTGGAAGTTATTGCTATTGATTCCTCCATAGTTTTTAAGTCCGATAATTTTTATACAATATTATTTATTACAACAACCCTTATCTCCTTAGAAATGCGCATTTGAGGAGTCCAATTTACATGATTTCGTCGTCGATATTTTTGGTCATTATTTACAAAATTCAAATAAATAAATAATATGTGCCCCCTCCCCCAACAAAATGCGAGATTATAACCCATAATATTAGAATAAGAAAATATTACACATTCAATTTAAAAAAAGTATAGTTTTTTTTTTTGTAAACAGATACTTGCAGAAAGATACTAGTGCTAGAGAGTTTTGTCACAGATAGGTCAAAAAAATTCTGCTACAGTCAAAATTATAATCATTATGACTTTTAAATAAAATTAATTTTGCACCAAGAATGTCTATCAAATATAAAATCAAATGTGAAAGTCTGAATGCTATTGTATTTACTAAAATACTTGCTGGTTGATCAATTAATAAACAATTGTAACTCTTTTCTTCTTAGATGACAAAGTGACTTTGAGCGATAAAACACTTAAGGGCTGCATTATCATATAAAAACTTATTATGATTAGCTAAATTTAAAAGAAAGAAACATTCAAGTTAGTTCATGCCAATAAAAATTGTTCTGGAAATTTTTTTTAAATATATAAGAACATAAAACATTGCTTCAGGTTTATATTAGTGTTCTAGTCTTAAGAAATTATCAAAAATGAACCTCTACCTATTTACATTTCTTTTCCTCGAAGACGATGAAACATCTAAATGTTAGATCCTCTCTCCCAGTTATTGCTCATTTACTTCTTCTCAACTATAAAATGATTCTGGATTTGAATTTGCATTTTTAAAATAGTTCAATTTATAATAAATTTGTATTTTGACTTAGAAGTTTCTATGGGAAAGGAATTGATTATAAAAATTCGTCTAAGTTAAAGATTTTAAGCCCTGCAATGAAACCTGGTTATAGCATCTCCTGAAATATACAGGGTGGTCTCGAATTCATGGTACAAACTTTAAGGACATTGTAATAATAATTTATTGTATAAGAATGTTGTGGGTGCAAGTGATGCAGTAAGACAGAAACAATAAGAGACGAAAGGATTGAAAGCATCGTTGATATTAATAATGTTTACTCTTCAAAATTGCTTCCACCAGTAGCAATGCATTCTCGACAGCGTCGGTGGAGTGATTGGCATACGGGTGATTCTCATGGAATATGACAATTGGCAGTCATTTGCCCCAAGATCTAATACTATTCTACTAAAGAACTTTTTAAAAAAATTTTAATAAATAGCATTGCTGTTAGCATTTTAAAATTGCCTTGCACTAGCAATAACTACCATCCCCACATTTGATGACCTTCAGACGTGAAGTGACATGGCCACCTTGACAGAAACTCCCACTTCAATATGAACACGCCTATCTCGATGTAACGCTCACTTTGATTGATGGTCCACATTGAACAGTTGACATTATCCACCTCCTAGTGCTACTCAGTCTCGATCACGCACAACGTCAGCCTGCATATACTCGACTGCTTATAGCCAATGCATTAGTAACCACGACTGTGAACTTAATACAGCTCGCACAATCAGCAAAAGTACGGTGATCTTAATACAACTCTCCCAGCTTCTCACAAAACAGCAATGAATCAGCTAGTGGTATACGTTCACCGAATTCTATTACATATATAATTCTGGTGGGGGTATACTGTAGTGTGTCTACCACTACAAAAATACAATTCCAATTCACTAGTATGTATAAGACACGTTAAGTCGATTTTATGGTCGGGTACCGTTTCATAGATGAAGGTTGACATGGTCGATAACAACTAACCCCACATTCAAATGTCAATAACAGAAACACCACATTCATTTGTTCACATCACATCCGAAGATCACCAATGTGGAGCGATAGTTGTTTTAGATAATGTCAACCTTCATCTGTGAAAAGGTACACGACCATAAAATCGAGTTAACATGTCTTATACATACTAGTGAATTGGAATTGTATTTTTGTAGTGGTAGACACACTACAGATTGAAACTATGGTGGTTCGAAAGCAGATTTTGAAAGATAAAAAAATAGTTTTATTATAAATGCAAGGTAATCTAATTTTTCTCCATTTTTCTTTTAATTGATCAGATAATAATGAAACTCATACATAGTGTATTTTTATTTCCTATTTATTTTTCAGGAATTAGCTGATCTGAAACATGCACACACAAAATTAAAAAAAGTTCTTCAGGATAAATCGACAGAGCTTGCACATGCCATTCGTCGATCAGAGCAGTATGAAGCAGAAGTCAAGAAATTGAGGGGAAGAATCGAGGAACTGAAAAAAGAATTGGCATCTGCTGAAGATGAGGTAATAATGTGTTTGTTATAATTAGTGTTATTTAACATATTCATTCACGCATTCTTTATACGTATTATTTTTTCTTCAAAAAGAGGATAATTTTATTTATAATTATTGAAATTTTGTTAATTGGCTAAAAATGAGTGATTATCTAGTTTTGAAATATAATCAACCATACTTGAAAAAAAAATATTTAAAATTTAGAATATGGGACACAATAAGCAGAAATAAATATAATTTAAGAATGATAAACACTTATATTATGTAAGAGTTAAAATGGAGCCTTTTAAAAGTTTTATATATCTAATCTATCACTCTTATTTTTTTATTGTTACTTAAGCCAAGCACGAGTTAATAAAAGGAAAATCTTGTAAGAGATCAATTTTTTTAAAAAGCACCTAAGTTTGCAATAGTTTTCTAACAAATAAGAATTACGAGAAAATGATGTCTCGATGTCCGCGTGGTATTTTTTACTACAGGCTTAACAATGAACAGTAAATGAAAGCAAAGGTTTAAGTGTTAAGTTTTAAATAATATTCAAGAATACAAAAACATACTGAATAAGATATAAAGTGTATTGAATAAATTGAATTAAACATTAAATAAATTTTAGTGTTTTAGGATTGGATAATCTTTAATGAAAACATAGATTATGTAATTCAACAAATAATTATATTAATAATTATACAATTTACTTTTTTAAAAATAAATTTTCCAACAACTTTGTACAAACTAAAGCGACAATTAATATAAAATGAAGAAAAAAAGGTATTGTTAAAAATAGCTACAGCTGTGTCCTTTTTACGATATTGTATTAAAAATACTGTTTTGGCGTTGCAATATTTTAGTAATTTTTAAGGTTTTTTTTATACTTTTTAAATGTTTTAAATTGTGAAATGTTATCAGTAGTTTCAAAGAACTGGTTGTATTCCTCATTAATTTTATGGTTTAATGTCACATTTGCACACAGACTTAACTTAATTGGTAAAAACTTCTTTCTGCTTCAGTAATGAAGGAAGGAACTTTTCAACATTATATAACCCAAATAGTTTCCTCCAATTTTATTGATTTTTCTGACTTTGTCGAGTAGCTGAGAAAAATTCCTGACATTAAGACATAATTTGTAAACCTATCGCATTTTGCAACATGTAAAAAATACAGGATTTTGATTGCGAAAATTTTGCTGAATTCCACCCTACAAAGCCATGGATTTGCGAAATATATATATTTTTTGTGTGTGTTCATACGATAGATAAATGAAGAAGCTAACATAAAACTGCCGGATTTTACACTGTACTGATATTTCGTTTAACAAAAGTTCATTAAAAAAGGAAACGTGAAGTTTACTCGATTTGGGGGCCCCGGGGCAAGTGCCCCGTATGCCCCTGTCTTAGTCAGGCTCTGTTTGCAGGCCTGCCATTTGCTTTAAAATTAAGAAAATTTGACATGTTTAATGGAAGGACCATTTACAGTATTAAACTAAAGATATCTTCTACCTGATTGAGTTGTATCAAATTTAGCACACTTAAGTAACTTTGAACAGGGAAAGAAAACTTTTTCTAATTATGAAAATTTACATAAAGCACTCATTTTTATCGTTAAAATTATTTCCTTAAAAGTTTATTTTTATTCACAATAACCTTTATCAATGTAATATTAACAATAATGAATAGCAGTTTTACGAAATTTTTCAACTTTAACCCTCATTTTAGTCATTTATGAAGGATAGAATAAATCGCTCTTTTTTTATGAGTAGGCATATTGTTACAACTTGCATATTGGGCTCTATAAGGAAAGCTGAATATATTTATTTTATTTTTGCATTAACAGCATATTTCTTTTTTTGATCATTTTATTTGAACAAAGCTGTAATGGCTCTGAAAGAACATCTATGAAAAAAAACAAGTATGTGAACAGTCAAGTGGTTTAAACTAGCACAAGATAAAAATATTCGTAATAAGTAGCATTCAAAAAAGTTTTTAAAAATATCTGTCATTTTTTTTTTAAAAAAATGTAGAAATATTGTATGTGAAAATTTGAATTATGAAATTAATCTTTTTAACTTTCTCTTCTGTTTGAGAGAATACATGTAATTTAAATTTTCTGATATTCCCAATTTTCTCCCTTCACACTCTTTCGATTGATTATAATAATCGTGTCAAAATTTTCCCCATATCATTTCTAAAAATTTATCTGCGTAAATGTGTTCCTTCAGTTTTACATCGTTGATGCTTTTTATTGCAAACTTTAGACATGTCAACATCTTAAAAAGATGTTTGAGTACAGTTAAGGGTGCTACTCTGTCTTATAAAAAATTGATTATTTTTTTTCTTCAAATTATTCCTATTAATATTTAAGTAAATAATGTAAGTTTTAAAGAAACAACCAATGGAATAGTTATTCATTTCTACTCAGACTTGGATAAAAATGAAACATTTTCTGCTCACATCGATTAACTCTCGTGAGTGGTTTCAACCCTTTCGTCGGCACCTCAATTTGGCAAAATTTGTTTGAAAATCTCAGATCTTTTTTCTTTTTTTTTTTTAAATGTTTAATTTTTATAAAACTTTTATATTTATACAGCAGGGATGAGTTCGGTAAGAAACCATATAAGCTGGAAATAGAAATCAAAAATATGATTCTATGTTTTTTGTTAATATAATGTTTGTTATTCGATGTTTGTTTGTATAAAATGTTAATGTTCTAAATGCAAAAACACTTTAATGAAAAAATACATGGAACTTAACTAGAAAAAGGTGCATGGAGTAAGCATTTATCTGCAGAATGCTAGCAACATTTTAATAAAAATATTGATTATATTTATTTATTTAAATTGCGTTAATATGAATCTCGATGCGTGATTGTTGAATCACACAAGTGCAAATGACGACATTTAGATTTAAAATCACGTGAATACGAATCTCGATGTTTGATTTTGATAGAAACGGGTGAATTCGAATACCAATGTTTGGTTTTAAAATTGTGTTAACCTCTTTCCTTACCAATTTTTTTTGAGGGGGGGGGGAATTCAAAAAATCAACATATTTTTTTTATTTTATTAATAAATACAAACAAAACATAATACGCAAGTTTTTAGCCGGAATTTTAATTTTTTTATGAGCAATTATGATTTTTCTCTTGAAAAAGTTCAGTATTAGTCTTTGTATGATGGTATTCAAAATAAGGGAGACAACAGAAAGTTATACTTTCTAAACGCCAGTGAAGTGTCATGAATTCAGCAGTCATCATATATACAAATCACGTGTGCAGTCCCACAATCCAACAGAAAAACTCCCAAACAAAACTTGGCAAGCTTCCAATAACAGCAGATTACCTTTTTTTATTTTATTTTTTTGCTTCAGTCTAAATAAAAGCGTAATAAAACGAAATGTTCTGCCCCGCCCGTGTTTTCTCGGGATAATAAATATTTACAATATACCTGTGTTAACTCAGGATTATCAGGGAAGTGGTTAATACAAATTCCAATGTATAATTTTTATGTAACTTAAGCACGAATCATTACGCAATGTGTGATTTTAAATCATATTAATGTAATTTTAAATGGCGTTTACATTGGTAGGAGAAAGCGCTAAGAGAAAATCTTTTCCTCTTATATTTGAAAAAGACCAAAAAAAAAAAAAAAAATTTTTATTTTTNAATTTTTTTTTTTTTTTTTTTTTTTTTTTTTTTTTTTTTTTTTTTGAGATGCAAATTCTTTTCTTTTTTAGTAATTGTGAAAAAAAATTCTGCAATGGTCAGAAATTTTCCATGAATGGCATTCATGTATATTACACGGTTCTGTTTACATTAAACTCTTGTCTTGATTGAATCCTTTATCAATGCAATACGGTATAAAGTAATTTTAATTGGTGTTTCTGCTACCGCTGCTCGATTGCATGTAGAAAAAAATCTACACTCATAATAATGATAATTATGTTTTCAGGTGGATAGTGCCTCAAATAACATAAGGAAGCTTCAACGTACAAATGATGAGCTCACGGAGCAAGTTGAAGGTCTACAAGTGCAAGTAGAACATCTGCAAACTAGGTATTTATCCTATATCTCATTATGACAGTAGAACCCTGATTATCTGACATCTTCAGGAACATTTTTTTTTTGTTCATTTTCTTATCTTAACTGCTATTTGCGATGAAATAAGGCCACCACTGTATGAAGCCCCTGTTGCAGAATTTTTTCGAGCTATCTGCGACAAATCTCTGTAGCACTAATATCTTTCTGAAAGTTACTTTTAATAATAACAAAAATATATGTTACTAATTTAATATAACAAAAGGACTGTGTTTACAAAAGAAAAAAAAACTAATTTTTTTAATTGAACATGAAATAATTTCTTATTCTAATATTATGGTTGATATTCTCGCATTTTGTTGGGGAGGAGGGGGAAGCTCAAATTACTTCCTTCTTCACCTTTTGTAAATAATCATCACAATAAAAAAAATAGTTAAAAATCATGAAATCTGTAGTAGCAATTGCCGATAAAAAGATAGACGACGAAATCACACGAATCGGACTCCTCGAATGCGTGTTCCGAAATAGAGCTGCAGTAATAAATTATATTTTATAAAAAAAAGTATCGGATTCAAAAACTATGGCGAAATCAATAGTAATAACTGCCAAAAATTCTATAGAATTATTGCCTTAAAAAGTAAATGCTTGATTTGAATTTTCCAGATTGTTCGAAATACATTGGGATATTTAAAATCCCCGTGAAAATCAATATCAATAAATCCAAAAATACAATCAAAACATTATATCAATTAACGATACTATCAGTGTAATTTAAGCTTGTCAGAAAGTGATTATCTGAATGCATGATTCAAATATTATGTGTACATTACTGTAGAAAAGAAAAGTGTGTTTCATATGGTTTTATTAGCAATTCAATCCAGAAAATTTGACAGCTCACTGCATCACAATGGAGAAAAAAAATAAAAAAGAAACAATTCAGCAATTTATGTTGAAAAAAATTATGTGAAAAGAAAAGTAATGTTTGTTTTGTTTTTTTACTTTTCAAAACAATATTTTTCTGCAAGAACTCTGCAACGTTCTGTGACAATGTCGCTTTGACTCTTCCACGGGGTATGAAGCTTTTATATGTCCTTTTCAAATGTGGTATAGATTGTTCAAACCTTATGCCATGACACATAAATAAAGAATCAAATGGTACCTGTAATAAGGTTTGCTATCTAACTCTCTATTTTTATAATTATAATTAGGTAATATTTTTTTTTCATTTACAGTAAAGTAATTTTATTGAATTAAACCTTTTTCAAATGCCATTTTTTCTCATCTCTTGGAAATAAATAAATCTTTTTAAATAAAACTTGCAGTAAATTATTTATACATAATAATGGGTGTCCTAAAATGTATCCAAGATTTGAATTAAGTATAAAATTATTTATTGTTGCTCCAAAAAAAGCAACTAAATGGCAACAGGATAAAGAAAACAGTAAAGCAGCTGATAGTTAAGTTTGCACAATGCAGTGCTACAATTAAAAACAACACATTTTCATCCTTGAAAGCCCAAGAAACAATCTATTTACTGCAAAAGGCATGTGTTTTGATGATTTGAGTTGGTGAAATTTAATATTATTGGATTATTTGAAGTCAAAGGTGTATATCAACTAGCCCATTCATTCCTCTGAAAGATTCAACACTGCATCCACGTTTATATCCAAAATAGCTGTGGAAACTTTTTTTTTAAACAGAGTGTGGGTGTGTTATTAAAGTGATGTGATGGAGATCATTTGCTATTCTATCCTATCCTTAGTGCTTTTTTATTCTAATGCCTACCTGGGTTGAAATTTGTCAATTTAGGTAGTTGGGCAGATATGTTGGCTACTCTTTCAGGGGCACCCTATTAGGTGAACGAGAAAAAAAAAAACTTCTTTTATTCAAATCTTGCATACATTTAGAGACATCTTTTATTAAACTTGATGCTTCTCACCGCATAATGCAACATTTAAATGTAAAAGTCTTAGATTAAAAATTCATCGCACACAAAATAGTCTTCATTATTTTATTTATTTATTTTTTTTGCCATCTTACATTTATATGAATGAATATGTCAGAAAATCAAACGTTGAATAGAGTTCTACTGTATTATTTTAAACAAAATTTTGTTTCCTTTTCTTTGGGACTAATAAATTTTTTATCTTAACACTTTTTCTTTTCTTGCTCCTATGGCTTTGGTTCTATAATTCTTATAGTTTGAAGAAGATTACTAAAGAAGAAGTTGTGGTTAGTACTAATCTTTCTTTCTTAACTAATTAGCTTAGTTATATCTCCTTTAAAGAAAAGATTGATTATGCTTGATAATGTGTAACATTTATTTGCTTCAAAAAATTTATCAACATGTTCCAAGTGCTGAAAAATAGGCACCCATTCTCAAGACTCGAATGATGAAAATAAAAGCAAGATTTTCGTAGTTTTCCTGATTTTTGTGATAAATGTATTATGCTTGTTTGTCCTGATTTTTTAAGTATAACTTTTGATCTAATGAATGGATCTGCACACAATAGGGCTCAATCTGAATGGTTCGAGAGAGTGACCTCAAATGTGCAGACAATTTTTTAATTTACGAAATCAACCACAAAAACTGACTTTTTCTGAATAAATATACTTTTTTTTTTTTAAAAGATTAGGATTTCTAACTCCCAAAATATCGAGGGTAGTCACAATTTGGGAAATAGGATCCTCATAGTTTGAATCCCATAATATTAATTTTACTTTTTGCTTATTTTGCCATGTATTATGAACTCTTTAAGGAAATTGAAAATAATAGTCGAAAAAATGGTTGAATTGTAAGATAAACAATTTTTTTATACCATTCTGAAGGATGAAATTTTACATGGTAAAATACAAAATTTGAGTGAATTCTGTTGAAAAGTTATGACTTACTGAGAAATCGAATTTTGAATGTATGACTTTTTTAAATCCGAATCCGGTGAAAAAGAGATGTTTATTCAGAGAAAGTATATTTTTGTATCGGATTTCGTAAGTTAAAATATCGTTAGCACCAATTAATTAGCATATTTGAGGTCACCCCTTGACTATTAAGATTGAGTCTTAAAACGTGAAGATCCTACCATTAGATCAAGAGTTATTCAAGGTAGTCCATTTTTTTTATTTTGGCACACTGCAAGTTTATTGTACGTTGCATGCCTGCCAACATTGGAGAAATAAAATAATGGAGATTTCACCATCGACAATTTTTAGGCGACGCGTAAAGTTTAGATACATCATGCATAATCATGTAAGTCAAATAGAGAAATTCAAAATTAGAAATAATATAAGCATCTTAAGAAAAGATTTCGATATATAAAAGCTATTAAAGATAATAGTAATACATCCAAATGGAAAAACGTGCTTAGCAGCAGTGAAACCAAGAAGAATTAAACAAGCGTGAAAATAAAAAAAAAATTGGGAAAATATGACAACCAAAGCTGATGTCGTCAGGGGATACGAGCTTCAGGTATCATAAATGCAAAACTTTTTCTATCAAGAAAGCAAGACAAAAGTCTAAAAATTCCATTCTCTGTACCCCAAAAGTTTTGCCAAAATCCAGGAAAAGAATTTATAATATACAATAAAACACAGAAGAATACAATATAAAATACCCTTTAAAATACAGAAGCAAATACAGTAGAATAAAAGCAAGACAAATACAAAATAAAAATAAGAACTAAAGCTTACTTGAAAAATAAAAAATCCAATAACTAAGTATCCCAAACCGACTGCAAACCGCAACTGAAATAAAAAAAACATAAAAAGCAAACGCCCCCTATCCCACGCAGTTGAAAAAGGACTGAGGTTAAGAAAGTAGTAACATCATTTGAACAAGATTTGAATTTTGCTTAACCAAATGAAAAACTAATAATTTTCAAAAATTTTCTTAATTTTCTAATCAATATTACAGAAGTTAAAAGGAAAACCATTATTTAAATTTTTTTGAAAATTACTAGTTGCCTTTTGAAAACTTAGAACATTATTACAGATTTTACTAATTCTAAACAATTGAGAAAAAACTAAATTTTTGAAACTTTTACTGCACATATTAGTATTAAAATTACAGAAAAAGATAACATTAAAATTAAAAGCTTTTCTTATGTCATAAACACCAATTTTAATTTGTTTATCAATAATATCAATTTTAAATCTAAATATTCAACACTTATAATTTTTGCTTAAAATAAAAATTCCCAGTTTTCCCTAGAAGTTAACAGTACAGGGGTCTGTCCAGACATTTTGTGAACGAAACTAATCATAATTTGTGAATATAAAATAAGCGTTAAGTCACATTCTTTCAACCACGGTCCTGCTTTTGTGAATTTATGCAAATAGGGTGCTGTTATTGCAAAAATTGCTAAAAACTTTTTCGAGAAGTTTTTAAATTGTAAATAGATGCAAGATTCTGCTGAACAATTGCTGCTACTAAATGAGAGATACAGCATACAAATATTTGGTATTTAGCCTATACTGCTCAACACACAATATTCATTTTGGACGAATAATGGAAACAAAATCGCTCCCACTTTTAATAATTTTAAAAAACACATAATGACATATTTTGAATAACACAACTTAGTAATGCATCACTTTTAATGTGTTACGCATTAAGTAAACTTAAACAATTCTTACATTAATAACATTTTAATTAAAAAATTGCCAGAAATTAATTATTATTTACATGATATTCTATCAATTAATTTATGAATAAATATAAATTGATCAATTATTTATTTACAAAAAAAAATTTTAATTTAATATTAATAAGAATGTGCACATGATGTTTGTAAAGATGAAATATTTTCTTAGAATACTACATTTGGAATTTAGACTTAGCAAAACTTAGTTTGTTTCGAACCGTCTTCCCCCCCCCCACCGGGAAGGATTTTTTTTCGATTAACAAAACAATAATGATGAAAATAAACAAATTTGTGCAGGGTCTGTTTTTATGAAAATAAATTTTGTGAATCTTCTAAACAGACCCCTGCAGTATCTAAAAATACAAAGCAGCAGTTTTT